CGGTCCAGCTAACCCAGACCGATCGGTCTAGACGTAGACCGGTCGGTCCAGAGGTAACGTGTGAGGTCCGGAAATTGTTCCAGACTGATCGGTCCAGACGTTAAAAAGCTCCAGACCGATTGGTCCAGGTCTGGACCGATCGGTCCAGACGTCGGGATTTACTAAACTCGCTCTAATTAGGGTTTTAATGTGGGAAAACTTTGGTGAACGCCACCCAACTCTTTTGGCACGAATTTCAGACCCTAGGGAGAGGTTTAGAGAGTGAAAAACCTAAGAGAAAGATCCCTGAATCCTTTGCGCAAAGAAGAAAGCGTTCTTCAGTCCTAGCAGACAAGTTCCAACCGTTGGAATCCTTTCCGCCGTGTGGATACGTGTAGAGGGCAAGGTATTCTTCCTGCTTACAGTGATCAGACGCGTTCTTCGATTGATACAGGCCCCGGATCGATTGAGGTAAGCGTTCTAACGTTTCTACAAGATTATGCATGATAGGTTCTAGGGTTTCATCAAAATTTTTGTTTTACATCCGCTGCGCAAACCCTAGAATCGATCTCTTAGGAATTAGATTCGCTCATGAGATCCCAGGAAACCCAACAATGTGTTTACAAGAAGGTCAGTGGGAGCACAGTAATTTTTCTAGTGCTGTACGTGGATGACATTCTCCTAATAGGGAATGACGTTCCTACCTTGCAAGACATAAAGTCTTGGCTAGGAACACAGTTTTCTATGAAGGACCTAGGAGAAGCGACCTATATTTTAGGCATTAAGATCTATAGAGATAGATCGAGACGTATTCTAGGATTGAGTCAGAGTACTTACATCGATAAGGTCTTGAAACGGTTCAAGATGCAAGATTCCAAGAAAGGAACCTTACTGATGAGCAGTGGCACAGTTCTCTGCAAGAGTCAGTTTCCTACGTCACCTGATGAGCGAGAACGCATGGATCGGATTCCATATGCTTCGGCAATTGGATCCATCATGTATGCCATGCTTTATACTCGACCAGATGTATGCTATGCATTGAACATTATGAATAGATACCAGTTAGATCCAGGTGAGTCACACTGGATCGCCGTCAAGAACATCCTGAAGTACTTGAGAAGAATTAAGGCTGTGTTTTTGGTGTACGGTGGGTCGGAACACGAGCTCGCTGTAAGGGGTTACACTAATGCTAGTTTCCAGTCAGACCCGGATGACTACAGATCGCAGTCTGGCTATGTTTTCTGCTTGAACGGAGGCGTTGTTAGCTGGAAGAGTTCTAAGCAAGCGACCGTTGCACATTCTACTACAGAAGTTGAGTATATTGCAGCATCGGACGCAGCAAAGGAAGCTGTTTGGATCAGGAAGTTTGTTGGAACAGATGCATTGTGGACACTAGAGGTGCATAATCGAGGATTTCAGAGCAAATTGGATCGGAATGGAACGATAAGGATATTTCTAGCTCGAGTTGCATTTGAACACGGCCATATCGAGCTCAAACACGGCCATGCAGAAGCGAAAAACGAAGATATCATCACAGATAATCTACAGGGACCGTGTTGAGTTGCAGCATGCCCGTGTCGAATTGCAGCTTGTTGGTTTAGTGCTCTATGATGTAATGTTATGCGAGCTTTATTTAGATACATTTGACGTATTGACACTTTCTATGGTTTATGGATGAGTGTTTTATTCATTACATGTTTTGCATACTTGATATGTTATGATATCCGTGTATTGTTATGAACAATACTAAACTCCCTAGTCGTATGTCGTTGTGGGAATAATGATGTAATAAGTATGATGTGTGATTGATGATCATAGGGATGATCATAAGTATTGGATACGATCACAATCATAGGTAATTCGTTGGAGAACGGAATACTGGATTGACCAGTATGAGATTGTCACATGGACTAGCGTCATGATTTGAATCTCATATGACGGTTCCATGATTGGATCCTAAGACCTGAGATATCTACGGAATCCAACATGAAGAGTTGCGTACTTTGAATACGTCAAACGTCATGCGTAATAGGAGGACTATAAAGGCGTGTATCGGGTACGAAACGAATCATGTGATGGATTGTAGATAGTCAAGACGGGATTTGTATCTCTCGTAAAAGAGAGAGATATCGCTGGGCCCCTCGTGTGAGCGAGACTGTGAAATGTGTGACCGCACATAGATGAACGTCGTCTATTTCGTACAGTCGAACTCAGTGAATGAGAAAGCAGTCGAATCAGATAAGGTGGCATGTCCATGCCTTATGTTCGACTTATGACATCGATATATAAAAGGATCATCAGCCAGAAGGGCCAGACCCGACGGTCCGCCAGGTCCAGATCCGACGGTCCAGAACGTGGTCTGTCTGTTCCAGAAGGTCTGGAACAGACGGTCCACCGAGATAGACCGTCCGTTCTGGCTTTCGGTTTTTTCGAAAATTAAACCAAAATTATGGTTAAATCACTTTATAAGAAGGAGATTAAAATCCTAATAGATTGAGCCGACTTTGGAGAACTTCTACAGAGTTTGGTGAGATCCAAAAGGTTCTAAGAAGTGATCTAAGTCTTGTTTTCTCGAAGCAACATACCGAATAGTTGATTCGGGTCCTAGCAGACAAGTTCCAATCGTTGGAATCCATCCCGAGGTGTGGATACATGTAGAGGGTGAGGTAATCTTCCTGCCTTAAGTGATCGGACAAATTATTCAGTTGATACAGGCCCCAGATCGATTGAGGTAAGCGTTCTAACGTTTCTACGATTCATACATGCATGATTCTAGGGTTTCATAAAATTTTTGTTTTTACATCCGCTGCGCAAATCCTAGAATCGATTTCTTAGGAATAAGATTCGCTCTTATAGTGTCTGAGAACAATTCTCAGGTTACGATGCCAGTCTAAGAAGTTCGTCCCTGTCAACTTATCCTTCTCAAGGATAGATCGCATTGGTAAATTCAGTACATTACCAGTTGTCTCCATTCTCTATAGAGATAGACAAAACAAACAATACAATATGCAATATAAGTAGTACATTACTACAACCTAGTACATTACTAACACAGACAGCATGATGTAATATGAATTGGCTCCCACTGAGAAAAATAACCCTACTAGTATTTTCTAAGTGGGTTAAAATCCATATTTCACATAAACTTGAATCAAGTTTATGCTATTTAGGTAGACATCTAATATCGATCACATCCAATGTGACTCTTAGATCTTTTATGGAATTATGGTATCATCATACCATTGTATATCTCTTATCCCATCTATACCGTTAAGTCCAAGTCTGACTTGATAATTTAACCTAAACTAGATCATATTCAAGCCGTGGGAAGCAATATTTCGTAGCAGCCCGTTGTGACTTTGCCTATCGTTGATGAACCTCGGAGATCGAGCATGATTCGAAATGAGCCCAATAGATATGGATTTATCGTGACTAGAAATGATGAACTTGTGCTTACAGAGTAAGACAAGCCTACATCATATTCAGAAGCTATGTCGAATCCGGACTCTGAGAAATGGTTCGAGGCTATGAAGTCTGAGATGCAATCCATGTACGACAAGTATGGACTTTGGTTTACGCATCTGAAGGGATAAAATCCATCGGATGCAAGTGGGTTTTCAAGAAGAAAACTGACATGGATGACAACATGCATACCTATAAAGCAAGATTGGTGACGAAAGGATTTCGACAAATTCATGGTATTGACTATGACGAAACCTTCTCTCCCGTTGCTATGTTTAAATCCATTCGAATACTTATTGTCATAGCCGCATATTACGACTGTGAGATATGACAAATGGATGTCAAGACCGCATTTCTTAACGGAAATCTGCTTGAGGATGTGTATATGACACAACCCGAGGGTTTTGAAGATCTTGAGCATCCAAGGAAGGTATGTAAGCTTCAGAGGTCCATTTATGGTGAAGCAGGATTCAAGAAACTGGAACCTGCATTTTGATGAGACATTCAAAGAGATTGGCTTCTTGCAAAACGAGGACGAACCATGCGTTTATCAGAAGGTCAATGGGAGCGCAGTTGTGTTTCTGGTCTTATACGTTGATGACATCTTGCTAATCGGAAACAACATTTCTACCTTGCAAGACGTTAAGTCTTGGCTACGAAAGCTTTTTGCGATGACAGACTTAGGCGAGACTACCTATATTCTAGGTGTCAAGATCTATAGAGATAGATCGAGAAAGTTAATCGGTCTAAGTCAGAGTACTTACGTCGACAAGGTGCTAAAACGGTTTAGCATGCAAGAATCCAAGTAGGGATCCTTGTCGATGAGACAGGTTTAGTTCTGAACAAGAATCAATGTCCAAAGACATATGATGAGCGAGAATGCATGGATAGAATTCTATACGCTTCGGCGATAGGAGCTATCATGTACGCCGTGCAGTGTACTCGGCCAGATGTATCGTTAGCATTGAGTCTAACGAGTAGATACCAGTCTGATCCAGGTGAGCCACACTGGATAGCCGTAAAGAACATCCCGAAATACCTGATAAGGACTAAGGATGTGTTCTTGCTTTACAGTGGACATGAAAATGAACTCGTTGTAAGTGGTTACACTGATGCTAGTTTTCAGTCCAATGTGGATGACTTTCGATCGCAATCAAGTTTTGTGTTCATTCTTAACGGAGGCATTGTTAGTTGGAAGAGTTCCAAACAGGGCACCATTGCAGATTCCACTATAGAGACTAAGTATGTTGCTTCATCGGATGCAACAAAGGAGGTTGTTCAGATCAAGAAGTTCGTTGGAGATCTTGGTATTATTTTTAGTATTGCGAACCCCATTAGGTTGTACTATGACAACAATGATGCGATTGCGCAAGCAAAGGAACCAAGGTCACATCAGATATCCAAACACATACTCCGGATATTTTATCTTATCAGAGAAATTGTAGATAGAAGAGATGATGATATACAGAGTATCGACATATGATAACATCGTTGACCCATTGACGAAGCCTCTCCCTTCGTCGAAGTATGAGTGTCATGTTAGGTTGATGGGGATTAGATATTTAGTTTATCATGATTAGAGCGTTTGGAGATTGTGATATTTTATACTCTAAACATGATTATTCGCACGAATGTTTTATTTATTGTACTTGGATTTATTATGATGAATGAAAATATGTTTTCTTTATTATTATTATTATTTAAATTGCATGTTATTGTTTAATAATGTTATCCTTGTATTATTATTGTAATAATACAAAATTCCCTAGTCGATCGTTAATGTGAGAACATTAACGAATAAAGACTAGTATGATACATGATGGATGATCATAGAGATGATCATAGCGTATTGGATATAGATCGTGATCATGGATGTTCATTTATGAATGAATATTGGATGACCCGCATGAGATTGTCACATGGATCTGACATCATGACTAGAATCTCATGTAATACTCCGCTTTGAGTCCTAACACCTGAGGTCTCTATATGTATCCGACATGAGGAGTGATATTCTTTAACACAATCAAAAGTCGGAACTGTAAAAGGATGACTATAATGACTGTAATTGAGAACCTCATGAATCATGTGGAGGGTAGTAAAGAGTCAAGACAGGATTTTGTCCCTCTCTTATGTGAAGAGAGAGATATCGCTGGGCCCCTCGAGTGAGTTGAGCTGAAACGCGCGCAAACAGATGAAGAGTCATCTGTAGGTTCTGTTAACTCAACGAACGAGAAAGCAATCAAAATGTGACGAGATGACTTGTTCCATGTCTCATTTTTGACTTATGATATCGCTTGACAAAAACGATATAAGTGTTGAACGTTACTTGGCTCGTTAGATCACACTACTTGACAAGGGAGTCATAGTGTCTTGCTAGAGACCACCTATGATTATTAGTCCGAAATGATTTCAGAACTATGTCTGCATTGGACAGACCTACATGGTCACACACGTAGGGCTATTTCTATTTTCTGGAGCGTGCATGGGAAGGTTTATTGTGATAGACTGAAACTCGATCATGAGTAGAGCAAGTGAGAGATTGATGGATATGGTGCTCTGGCCACGATCGGTTTGCGAAACTGATTAGAAATCCTTTGGATGAGTTTAGGTGGCCCAATGGACTCATATGATAACTGATAAGGCTAATGGGCTTTAATCTCTTAATTGTTAAGTTGAAGGCCCAATAGGCTCAATTGGTTTAATGAAATACTAATCACTTTATAATTATGTTTAAAAAACATAATTTAGTATTAAGAAAAATTAAGAGAATTTTTCGTCTCCCTCTCTCTCGCGGACGACGTCTCTTTCTCTCCCGAGGAGCGCCTCGGTTCCCGTTTCCAACCTCCAGATTGCGTTCTAGTAGACGTAAACCCGTGAGTGTGGACTAGCTGTAGAGAACGTTGGATTTCAACGTTTGTGACAGGTCTTTGGATTGAAACAGGTTGGCATATCGATACTTTTATTATGTAAGATCTGTTGTTTGGATTTCGTTTTATATATTTTGCTGCGTGAAACCCAAAGTTGGAACCGTAGAAGCTGTTACGAACGCACGTTTAGAGATCTTCAAAATCCCAACACAGACGACATTGAGCTTGTTTGGTTGGAGAGTTTGCTTCGTGGTCTGCGTATTCGGTGTCCTCGTCTGGTGACTCTTTATTGTGATAGTCAATCTGCTCTTCATATTGCGAATAATCCGGTCTATCACGAGCGTACGAAGTACATCGAATTGGACTGTCACTATGTTCGGGATCAACTTAAGTCCAATTTCCTTAAACCTTTACACGTTTCTTCCCGTAACCAAGTCGCGGATGCTCTCACAAAGTCGTTGGCGATTGATCAGTATCATTTCTTATTATCCAAGATGGAAATACATGATTTGTATTCTCCATCTTGAGGGGGAGTATCAGAGTATATTTTACAGTTTTTATTCTTTCCTAAGTTGTAGAGTTTAGTTTCTATTTTCTGTTGTAACAATCAGATTTGCTTATATCTTCTAACATTAGTTTGCTCCAGGATTGGTACTACTTGACAGCCTCTCATAGACTAAGGAACATGATGTAATCAACCCTGTTGGTAGGGTCTGTTCAGTGATTTATTTTGTCCACTTGCGCATGGAAAGCCCACTATTTTGTATAGATTATCCAGTTGTAAAACTGATGTAACACCGTTCTTTTGAGTAATACAAAATTATCTTTAAACCAAAAAAAATATATTTGCTTCTATCTTCTCCTATGTGTATATATATTGCATTGTAAAGAATTGAATGTATATAAGGAAAATTTTCTAAAACTACTGTGTTCTCTTCTATGCTCGATAGAGTGATTGTATATTTAGATGGTTACAGTTAAAATTATTATAGATAAATTTTAAATAATAGAAAATATAGAAAGTAAATATTTTGTAACGATATATTATATTAATTTTTTGTATTACATTTATTAGTGTTGTCTCATCAAAATTTTTTTGGATCCGTCAGTGTCTGTCCTAACCAACGTACCACCCAATCCACTTAAAAATATATACACAGTAAATCCAAATCAATCTATGTCTCTATCCGACCAGGTGAATCTTTATCTCAAACGGACGTTTTTTTTCTTCTCAAAGCTATTTCTCATTTTTCTCGACTCTATAAAGAGTGAACTAATTCTCCAATCTGTGTAAATAGTTTTTGAATAGATAAACCTTCTTTTATTCGTTATTATTTCTTTTGATTGCAATATAATTTAAACCGGCACCTTATATAACTTCCTCTCTTGTATGAAAGAGAAGAGCTTCTCATACTTTATACGCACATTCATTACATAAATTAATTTTTGTTACCACGGAATCCACTCTAAATGTAAAAAAAAAAAATAGTATACGATAATGGTGAAATTCTTGGAGAAATTGTTAGTAAAAAACGATTTAGGAAGGCAGTATTATTGAGAGTACACATAATATTAGAATTAATATTCCCCATACAGGCTGGTCCCGGCCTAGGATGGATATAATCGGGTCGAAGGCCCGGGGAACCATCCTGGTTATAAAAAAAAAAATATTCCCCATACTTCTCAATACGATTGATTTAAATTAGATGAATATTCCTTTGCCACTAAAGTTAATATTCAGCTTCAAGTTTAGGATTCTTTAAATTTGAATCCAAGAAAACTGATTAAACACTGCGTATTGAGACACCGATTGAAATGGAATTTCCGTCGCATAGCAATAAAATGGTGACGCTTGGTAAAATCATATTATCCGAAACCTATCAGAACCCGATTGAATACCTGAGGGAAGCTCCAAATGAAACCTAGGTTTAAGAACCTAAATATAAACCATGTCTATACAATATTAAAAAATAAAATACAGAAATTAAATTGTCAAAAAAAGAATAAAAGAGAAAAATAAAGGGAACATTTTTATTTCTAAATCTCTTCTTGTTACATTCATTACAATAAAAATGATTCATACATTGAAAGAACACGCATATCCTCCGCAATGAAACCCTTTTCGGTGGAAAAAATCCAACTATCCCTTAATAGATTAGTCCGGGACACTATCCTTCCTAGCGACCGCCCTCCTACATTTCATCATTCTGACCTCATGGATGCTTGGCTCTCCCTCACTGTCTCGATCCAAGTCTCTCTTAGAAGTTGATTCTCAATTTGATCTTGATTTTTATGTTTACTGAATGGAATTTTGTACCTATGTAGGTTAGTTCAGCAAAATGTCGGGTTGTACACGACTCGATTTTTTGAATAATAATACATTTATCATTATCAAAAGAAATATTGAAAGAAACAAAAAAATAAAGATAAAAAAAATAATACAAAAGATAATTGTCACAATAAATATTTTATTTTTAATTGATATTGTTGTTTTAATTATTATCAATCATATATAATCTCCATATTTTGTTTTTATTTCATCAATCAGATCGTAATTAATATTCATTAACATTAGCAACATACAATATATGTATATATATATATATATATTATAGGAAGATATTATTATTAGAATATTATCATTGATATGATTATGATTTACCCTAGATATTATGTCTAGAATATTCTATTGTATTTTGCTATATATTATGATGTATTCTTCCCATTATTAATAATAGAAAAATATTTTTCCTATTATGATAAGAGAGCTTCGGTTTTTGCTCTAATTTATTTTCTTCTTCTCATCAATAATGTTGGTCGAATCCGAAAGCGACGATGAAGATAACAACGATGTACTAAATCCAATAGTATCATCGCCTTGATTATCGTTTTAAATTTATTTTGCTCTTTTTTTCTTCTATTTTTTTCCCGACGGCGGTGTTCATCACTGTCAACCCTAGCCGATGCGCTACTTTTTTTTTCTCTGACGACGTTCATTTATCAATGTCAACCCTAGCCGTTGTGAGCTCTTTAAACATGGCTTTTAGCCTCTTTCGATTGGAAAACTCCGATCGTTGATCCACGTATTTGCGCCACGTATTTTTATTCTCTTCTCTTGTCCCACTGCTAGATGCATTATGCGTCGCGCTTTTGCGCCCATTTTTTTTTTTCATTTCTCCGGCCTAGCCGCTATATACACCGCAGTTTTTTGCGCTCCCGACTTCATTGTCGTGCAACCCAATTCACGTATACGCGCCGCACTTTCGTGCCATATCAGCCTCTGAGAATACAACTCTCAAGCTCTTCAAACGTTATCAAGCAACACCAACTCAAGTTTGAACTACACCACCACATGGAAGATGATTCGTTTAATACGATCACAATTTCAGTTTTTCAGTTTTTATATAACAAGATTGAATTCATCATAGATGATTCATCTTGAGGGGCATATAGGAAGACATTATTATTAGAATATTATCATTGATATGATTATGATTTATCCTAGATATTATGCCTAGAATATTCTATTGTATTTTGCTATATATTATGATGTATTCTTCCCATTATTAATAATAGAAAAACATTTTCCCTATTATATATATATAGCAATTCGGGAAGTTTCTAATACTGTTACGTACTTCGTCGTTTCATAAATAACGAACTAGGGTTTGTATGGTGACAAAAAAAAAATCATCGTACGTGTATTCCATACCCACGATGTTTTTTATTTTGTTTTCTTTTTTGTTGAATGTGTTTTGTATTACTTCCCAAAAAAATTATGTACAAAAACCTATTTCAGTCTTTACAAAAGAAACCGAAAAGGTTGACAGATTTCCATGTTTAGTAGGGCCAACGTATGTCAGTGAGCATGATATCAACCTGTGTCCACAACGTCATATGAAACTTACTATAAAAAGGGGAGGGGAGGCATTGAACGTTAGCAAAACAACACAATTAACACGAGAGAGAGAGATAATAACGACAGTGTAAATACTCATATTTCTGTATTTTTTCGTGTACTTATTTCTCATTTCATGTTCCCGGCAGTGTGGAAACAAAATCTATAAGTCTTTCCTCATTCTAACTTTGTTATTCGAATAATCTATTGCTTCTTATATGTGCAGATGAGATTGTAAAAATCAAATATATTTTTTTTGCAGTACTTTAAGTTGTCACCATGAGCATGAACAACGTTACCATGAGCCTTGAGTCATCAGCGCAACCATTGGCTCTCATTTTTCTAGCTCTCGTAATCTCGGTTACTACGATCTTGCTTTGATTACCGTCCACGAAGCCATCAACGGGACGAGGGCTACCTCCGGGACCCCGTGGATGGCCAATCTTCGGGAACTTAGGTGGGATGATCACGAACCGACCGGTTTTCAGGTGGATCAACCGAGTCATGAACGAATTGAAAACCGAGATAGCTTGTTTCCGGTTCGGCAATGTCCACGTCATCACCATTTCATCCGACGAGATTGCTCGTGAAGCCCTTAAGGAGAAGGATTCAGTTCTCGCAGATAGACCGGAGTCATACTCAACTTCAGCGTTATGCAGCGACTTGAAAACGCTAGTTTTCTCTAACTACGGAGACCAATGGGTGAAGATGAAAAGAGTGATGATGTTAGAGTTGATGACACCTGGAAGACTGAACTGGTTACTTGATGCAAGAACCTTGGAAGCCGATAATCTCCTTGCCTACGTTCACACCCTTTACAAACGGTCCAAGACGATAAACGTTAGAGAAATTGGGAGGACTTATGCTTACGCCGTCATGATGAGAATGATGTTTGGTCGGAGGTATCTCAAGGAAGTGTCCACAGTGGATGGAAGCTTGGGACCAATGGAGAGAAAACACATGGACGCCATATTCAAATCTTTGGACTGTTTCTTTAGCTTTCAGGTATCAGACTTCATCCCGTGTCTAAGGGGTTGGGGTTTGGACATACATGAGAAGAAGGCAAGAGAAGCATGTGACGCCATTGCTAACTGCAACGCTCTAGTTATCGATGATAGAATCAAGTTGTGGAGGGAGAGAGAAGGAAAGAATGATGTCGAAGATTGGCTCGATGTCTTAATCTCTCTTAAAGATTTCGAAGGGAAGCCATTGCTTACACCTCAAGAAATCAAAGGTGAATGCAAGGTAAGTGATTTTCAATAACCAATAAACACATACATGATAATAACCATATATATTTATTCATGTATATGTGAAAACATTAAGCTTTTATTGATACATTTCATAGGATGTTTGTGTCGCATCGTTGGATAATCCGGCAAATAATGTGGAATGGACACTTGCCGAGATGTTAAATCGACCTAAGACTCTTAAAAGGGCTGTGGACGAACTCGACAGAGCAGTCGGAAAAGACAGACTTGTGCAAGAAAGTGACATACCGAATCTCAACTACATAAAAGCTTGTTGCAGAGAGTCTTACCGACTTCATACCGTTGCTCCATTTTTACCCCCTCATGTAGCTACTGAGGACACATCCCTCGGGGGATATTTGGTCCCAAAAGGTGACTATAGAATCATATGGACTCTCAGTAGTGTTCAATTAGGCGCATGCATGCATGCATACAACTTTGATATAAAACATTTAAATTTGATGTTATCATCATATGCTACGACAGGTAGTCATGTGCTGGTGAATAGGATCCTGTTGGGTCGGAACCCTAAGATTTGGGAGGATCCGGAGGTCTTCAAGCCAGAGCGCCACCTCAATGGGGACGGTTGCTCGGAGAAGGTGAGTCTGATGGAGGCGGAGATGCGGTTCGTGACGTTTGGTACAGGTCGTCGTGGTTGCATAGGTGCTAAGGTTGGGACATACATGACAGTGATGTTGTTGGCTAGGCTTCTCCAGGGGTTCACTTGGAAGCTCCCTCCGAGTTCGGGGTCGAGTCC